CTTAGTTAGACATATGGCCAAGGGTTAGTCGCTAAATTACTTAGCAACATAATTTCTTATTCATAAAATGTGTTTCATTGGCAGCAATTTGTCCCGAGAGTTGGCTGAGGCAAATACAGGTTTTGTTATTCCTAGTTTAATGACTAAGATATTAACTCTCGGGCCTTACGCTACACGTCACAAAGTAAATGCCTCTGTCTGTGTGTATCTATGTAGGCCACAGAACGGTTACAGAGGGTTAGCGGGGCCAGGGCAGAGTTCAAGAAGTTCCACAGAGGCCTAGAGAGGCAGGAAGGAAGGCTGGGAGGGATAAAGAGCCTGTGTAGGAATGAGAAAAGGAAGCCCGCCGCCGGAGGCACTGAAAGTCAAGTCTGGGCTCCAGCTGAGCTGTGGAAGCCAGGCCTGGGGCTGGGAAGGCTACAGCTGTGCGCGGCAGAGATGAGTCCGGTCGGAAGAACAGGGATGAAGGGGTGCAACCTGTGTGGGCTGCACTGAAGCCTCGGATGGTTAGAGGCGCTCTGCCTGTGCTCCCTGACCCAAACGGTCACATGGCAGGTGAGAGGCGCCACCACTTTCACAGTGGGGTCCAAGTGAGAGCGCTGCCTTCTTCCTTCAAGCTGATGATGCAATCAGTAATTTCTCAGGCCTAGAGTCTCTACGATTTCAATATGCCCTATGTTCCGAGAGTTCTAGTTCATCTTGCTAGATTTATAGGGCAGTGCTGTGACCTGCATGGCTTTAGGGACTGACCTAACTGGGGCAACGGGGAATGAGAATATGAAATGTCAGACAGCCATACAGAAAAGGCTAGGACTGGGTGGGCCATGCACTCTGATCCGGTTACTTTGTCCGCAGCTTAGAAAGGCGGCAAGTTTATTGTATATTGTAGCGCACAACGCCTGTCTGCGCTCTATGCGCTACCATACAGTTCCCGAGCTTCAGGCAAGGGGCTGGAGGTTGAAACACACAAAGACAGACAGAGACACGGACCTCTAGTCACTGGTAAGAAGCCCCCTATTCAATAGCGCCACTGAGGCTTAGATACCCAACAGTCAGGTGGGCCAACAGGTGAAAACCTTATCCTCTGATCCTCAAAACAAGGCAACCCGTGCTCATGAAGCAGAGCTGGTAAACAACTTTGACACAGCTTTCAGTAACTCAAATCAGAAGGAAAGTAAAGATCTCTAGCAGGAAAGAGCAGCCGGAGGCCAGGACTCCAAATGGTCTCAACAGTATATAACGCAAGTGAGGATGGGAGAAGGTAGAGGAGCTAATCGAGGTAGCAAGTCTCTAGGCGGCCATCATCTTGCAGGAGAAAGCTGCCACTGGTGTTTTCAGCACACGTTTGTTTTAATTAAGGGCCATCGGTTCATCCAGAGAAAGGCTTTTGTATTCCTCAGAGACTGGGGTGGGTCTTGCTATTCCCATGAGTCGGAGGCATCAGGGTCCTTGACCTAGCCACCTCCTGCCAATCATACACAGTTGCCCAGGACTTTACCCATTCCCTACATGGCAGTATCCCTTTTTAACTTTTAGAAATAGTTGCTATTCTAGGCCAGTCCTGTGGGTGGTGCTGTTGTTGATGTTTCCACCAAGGTGCCTGCCTTTGAGTCTGCACTCAAAATGGAGTCAGAGATGCTCGTACAGCGTGCAGTGTCTCATGGCAAGGCGCTGCCTAGGGAGCCACCATCTTGCACATTATGGAGTATCTTAGAGCCGGGCACAAGATGACCTTAAACAAAGACCCTTTTATCTTTGACCTGGAGATACTTGAGAGGGTCGCTCTTGGGGGAAAAGTTATAAAAATACTTTTGCTCATTTCCCCACTGATCTCTTAGTTCTCTGGATACTTAGAGCACTCTTTTATGAAGCTCAGATTGCATTTCTGTCCCGTTCGGATGAAATCCTGTACCTACTGCAGGGTAGGCAGTTCACTTGGCTCCAGCCGATGTGCATGGGATTTGCGTTGCACTAGTCACCTAATGGGAGAATCCAGCGAAGATCTTGCTGCCAATATTTAATAAGTTATGAGTGAGTGGGAACGAATTATACGAATGGTCAGGCACTCGGTGAGTCAATTTCCGTCCTGAGAATTACTGCACACCCAGTGGATCACCTTGGTACAGCATAGACGTAGAAAAAGGGCTTTCGCCGCCATTTCTGTTGAAGCTGGCTATGGTATGATTCCCAAGAAACTGACTGGGAATGAAATTCTTATGAATCCGGCTACCTTTCACCTGCCCTTGGAGAGGAGATCCTATTTTAAGACATCCTTTGCTTTTTCTCAAGAAAGATGAAAAAGCCTACCTAATCCTGATTTAATCTGACTTTATATCTGAATTTCCAGGAACCATGCTTTCTTAGACCAGAGTGAGTAGTCTGGTGCCACGCGGAGAGAAGACTTTCCTCCTGGTGCCTAGTTCTTCCACTCTGCTTCTGGTCCTCCAGGGGTGAGAATTCAGAGTGAAGGCTCCTCAAAGTCTTGGGGACATGGGGATTATGATGCTGAGGATAATGAATGTCACAGACCCTTAGGAGAGATCTATTCAGTCAGCCAAATGGCACGGGGCTGCACGAGCCAAGGAGAGCCACCAGCCCCTGTCCAAGCTGCAAGGGGCCAGATCAAGTGATACCAGCTGCCAGCAGCAGCTGTGTCCATGGGGCCAGCTGTGACCTGGATTTCAAGGACAGATGTCTGTGGGGAGTGGAGGAGGCAAAGGCTACTCTTTCATTTTGAGACTCTTTCCTCTCAAAACACAAGGACACATCAGTTCCATTTGCCCCAAAGTCTCAGATGCTGTTTTGTAATGGAGAAAGAAAAATAAAAAGTCTAAAACATGAGTAATCATATCCCAAAGACTGCCGAAATCATTGCTTCAGATGAAGAACGGGCCTGTATGTTGTTTTTGTGTTGTTTCTTTTGATTTCGGTGGACAGGATGAAGATGAAAGGAACTGCCAGTCAAATGAAGAGTCTGTTTCTCTGAGTGCTGGAATGGCTTTGTAAGTACGTTCGCCATCCCACCGTCACAGGGTGGACCTGCTCAGATTTTCTCCTCTCTAATAACTGCACGAGGTAGGTTCCAGCACGACCTCCCAGCCAACTTTTCGGCTGTTCTTTAAACTCCACCACAACTCCATGTCTTGTGCTAAACATCAGACTTGCTTTTGGTTGTTTTGCTCCAGTGTTCCCCCCCATCACCCCCTCCCCGTCTGCGACACCACAGAGTCCCACTACCCCAATTGCTTTTGTTCTGTTCCCCCTGTCTGGCTAGGGTTGGAATCTTACATGGCGATAGAATAACACTCTATACAAGGGAGGTTTTAGGGGAGTGTCTAGGGCCACTCAGTTCTTCACTGGTTTATGTTTGAAGCCGCAGCCCAATGAGAGCGAAGAAAATTCCTTGTAAAAAATCTTCAAATATTCTATTTTGACATAGTCCTTGCCTAGACCCACTCCAAGAGACCCTGAAATCGTGAGATCCGAAACAAGAAGTATGAGGAATTGGGCATGAGCCGCTTTTTCTTAATCATAATTTCATTTATAACGCCACTAAGACATCACAGCTAATAAAATCTTGCCATTATGTATTATGAATGAGTAAAATTTGTTTTCCCAAGGAATTCAAATATATTTAAAATATACAGATGAAAAGTCTTGTTCTCCTCTGAAGATTCCGAAGATAGTTCAGCATTTTGGGGTCTGTTTGGGTGACAAGCATGTAAGTCACTTGTCATTGTTCTTGTGTGCCTCTGAGAGCTCTGGCTCATAGTGTAACCTCTAACTACTAAAGAAAGAAATAAAGAAGACACTGGAGGATATAAAGTTTTCCCATGCTCATATATCAGTAGAACTAATATTGTAAGAATGATTGTGTTACCAAAAAGCAATCTACATATCCAATTTGCTTGCTATCAAAAATTTGAATCACCAACTTCCCCAAAGTAGGAAAACAAAAATCCTAAAATTTTTATGGAAACGCAAAAGACCTTGAATAACCGAAGCATGCCCAAATAGAGCAATACTGTCTTGCAATCACCAATCTCAGGTTACACTACAGAGCCATAGTACCCAAATCAGCATGGTATTGACTTTGCACAGATGGAATAGAACAGAGGACCCAGAAAGAAACCCACACAGCTCCAGTCACCTTCATCTTTGACAAAGCTGTCAAACACATACACTGGAGAAAAGACCTTCAAAACTGGTGCTGAGAAAAACAGGGATTCTGCAGGAAGAAAAAAATGAAACTAAGGGAACTAATTCTGTACAAAACCCAGCGGGTCAAAGACCTTTATGTAAGAATGGAAACTCTGAATTTCCCATAGGAAAAGTAGGCAAAACACTTTAAGTTGTAGGCACAGGCAAGGGCTTTTTGGGAAGGACCTTGGTAGCTCCGAGGGACTTGACAAATGGAATTACACAAAATTAAAAGGCTTCTGTATGACGAAGGAAACGGCTGTGAGACAAGAAAGAAAGCCTTCCAGATGGGAGAAACTCTGTGAAGCAGACATCTGATTGCTATCTGAATTCTATAAAGAACGCAAAAGAAATTAAACACCAAACCCACAAAGTATCTAATCAATAAGTGTGATGATTAATTGAACAGACGGTTCTCAACAGAAGAAATAAAAATGTCACAATTATTTGAAGAGATAGCCAACACCCTTCGCTATCAGAGAAATGCAAATTCAAACCACATTAGAGATCCCATCTTAACCCAGTCAGAGTGATTATCATCAAGAACAATGGATGATAACAAATGTTGACAAGGATGTGGGGGGGAAAAAAGGAACCTTTCTACTGTGTGTGGGGATGGGAAGTGGTACAGCGCCTGTGAAAATCAGAATACAGCGCCTCAGCGATTAAAAACAGATCTACCCCGTGATCCAGCCGCATCATTTCTGAGTATATAATTGAAGGGCTCTAAATCAACACACAAAAGGGATATCTCACAGCCATATTTATTATTATGCAATTCACAATTGCAAGCCATTATTCTAGCCTAGCTGGCCACCACCAGATGAATGAAGAAACACATCCACATCCATATCCACAAAGTTGCCTCCAGGCGTAATGAAGAATGAAATGATGTGTTTCACGAGAGCTGGTGGAATGGAAGACCATCATGTTAAGCAATCACGTTTACTCTCGTATGCAGAATCTAGGTATATATATATATATATACCTATATATATACCTATATATATGTGTATATATATACACATGCATGTGTAATATCGTTATCATAATATTAAGGTGGAAGAGAGATTATGAGAAAAAAGGAAGAGGTCTAAAGGTGCAGTGGGAGGAACAAGAGGAGTGATGGGTTGAGAAAAGGAGACAAAACACTGCGTGTTTTCTGTCATACACATATACACATACATTCCACATATGACTCACACACATACATACATCACAAAAACAGCATGGGTACTACGTGTGGGGAGGAATGGGACCACTTGGTAGGGATGTGGGAAGGCAAAAGCCCTTGTTGCTATGTAAGATGGTGTAACTACAGGCCAGACACAGCTGGCAACCGCAGTAGGGGGAATGTGGGACCCATTGCAGGCCCAGCCTGCTCTCCTCAAGTATAAGCCTTCCTTAGTACCTTCCCCCTTCCCAAACCCTAGCAAAGGCCTCTCGAACTTCAGCCCTAATTCGTCAGGGCTTTTGTTTCTTTGTAGGCCTTATACTCCCAGAGCAACTTAAGAGCTAAATGGAGAGGAGGGACGTGGGGGAAACTAAGTAGAGAGTTGAGTTAGGGGCAAATGAAAGGCTGGGGCCTCTGAGAGCCATACTTTGATGCTCAGCCAGAGAGGTCTTAGGTCAGGTCGCTTGGCAGCTCCTCACTGCCTAGTCCATACAGGACCCAAAGCAATAGTGGACATGGAATAAGGAAGAGACCAGGCTGGCATGATCTTCTCACCAGCTGCACTCTGGCTGGAGGGAATGTGCAGGCTTGAGGAGTTAGCTGGGGCAGGCCACCATTGGGCAGGTCTTAGGAACAACGAATGCCATGAACTCTGGTAGTTAAAGGGTCTCCAGAGCAGCTCAAGACATCATGCTCACGTACGCCAGCACTGCTTCTCAACTGTTTAATCCCCACCAGATGACTCTTACAAAAGAACTACATTTGAAAATAATGATTGACTCGAGGTCCATGGAGAGAGAGAGAGAGAGAGAGAGAGAGAGAGAGAGAGAGAGAGAATGAATGAGGGAGAGAGACATAGAATATAAAAGCAAAGCAAAGGCTACTGATTCAATACCCACCGCTCTGATGGGCTTTGGGACAGAAATAGAAAGACTAGGGATGCGAATATCTGGGGGTGGCATTCTCAAAGGCCAAGCACTCAGCAGTAAACAAAAGCTTCCCTGTTTTCGCCACAGTCTCTCTTTCTTCTAATCTAAGCTGTTTTTCAGGTACATGGCCAACCCGAGGACACGGGGTCTTATGACAAGCTGTTTCCTGATTTGCTTGCGTAGATCACATCGCCTGCTGGGGATCACCATCGATTAGCAGCTGACGACGAGCTTGCAGCCTCCTTTCCTTTGGGGACTAATGCATTATCCCGCTTCCCTTTTGTGAACGACAGGTGCATGGAAATCACGCCAGAGGAGAACAGGCTGTAGCAATCAGGCAAATAGTCTCCACGGGCGGCAGGCGTGTAGGTGGTTTAATGACATCACGGGTTTGGGCTCAAAGCCCACTTAAAAGACCTTAGTCCTTAGTAAAAGAGTTAGTCAGCTTGCATTTTGGATTCTAAGAGGAACGGGGAGCATTACCTAGGGAGAGGACTTTTGTAAATGTCTCACATTGGTTTCTTAAGATCACACATTAGGATTCAAACTCAATATTTGTTTAAAGCCTAAATCCCGCTGACAGTTTTCCTTTGGAAAAGGCTTGAACCAAATGACTTGTTGTGATTTTACATATTGAAACTAACACGGCCTATTGCAGTTCGAAAGGAAAGGCCCCTGGGTTCTCAGCTTCTTCTGCCACCCCAGGGATTCATTGTTTGATTTCTAATAGTCAGTCCCTCTGATTTTCTTAGTTTTCTTTTCCTTTCAATCCTCTCCCTAAAATACAAAGAGAAACACCCCGCAGTAGATTGCAGAAGGTTGTATGCTGCATTCTAGATGCAGACCTTTAGTGTATGGTTTGGTTAAAGATATTCATAAGAAATGAAGAGACCCCTTTATGGACTGAGGTTTTCTTTTTTTATCTATCTATCTATCTATCTATCTATCTATCTATCTATCTATCTATCTATCATGTATACAATATGCTGTCTGTGTATATGTCTACAGGCCAGAAGAGGGCGCCAGACCTCATTACAGATGGTTGTAAGCCACCATGTGATTGCTGGGAATTGAACTCAGAACCTTTGGAAGAGCAGGCAATGCTCTTAACCACTGAGCCAAATCTCCAGCCCCCTGGACTGAGGTTTTCTGTGCACAAATTTTGATTATCTCAAAGGTAATCTTATAAGTCTTAAAGGAATCACAAGCCTAAACTTTTATACATGAAAAAGAAACAGCTCTACTTTAAATCTTTAGGGTACATATCTACTTATTAATAGATTTTTTTATATCAGAAGATTGAGGGCAGAAGTGGATATAAGTAATTACTCATCGCCTTTGCTCATCAACCAGTCCTAGTAAGAAAGGTGCATCAGCCAGTACTAACTGGGCTGCTTTGTTCTTGTTCCCTGGCTTTAATGAGTTCTGCATTCAACTCTGTGCCTTTCTAAAACTTGAGGTTGTCTTCTTGGATTTTTCACCTCAAAACTTTTTAACAAAAACATCTTAGTCTAACTTTGCTATTATCAAAGCTTTGCTTCAGCTGTGATTCTCTCTGAAACCTGTGAACATCTTCGAATGTTAAGGTTTAAAAAATTTAATCTAGCTGGGCTACCGGGACTCAACTGTTAGTCATTAACTTGAGCTACAATCCATGTAGCTCCTTAGGTGAGACTCACAGACCTTGGCTGTGAAACATAGCCTTGTGTTTATTTTTATTCACCAAAACTCTGTGTAGGCAATCATTATTATTATCCAATTAGATCGTACAGCTTAGGGAGGGGTCATCTTCCTTACAATCCATAGGTAAAAATGCCCAGTGGAATGGGATATTTCCAAGAGGTAAACACACTATATTATAGGCAGTGGAGCTCTCCCTACAACCACTCACACCATGCTAGATAACAGAGAAAGAGGCACAGCTGAAGCAAAAGACTCTCCAGGATCTGCATTACTTGGGCTTTGCCAAAATGAGATTGGCCCATCAGATTTGACACCTGGAACTTGCCACTCACTGCTCCTCTGGCATGGCCAGCGGCACCTGGCAGTGCTGTGCTATGCTGAAGGCATATTGAATAACACATCTTTGAGTCTAAATGATTAGAGGGAATATTAAAAGAAGGAACAAAATTGTTTAATTTTTCTTAATGAAAAACTAAACAAAAACTATTACACTATACTAAATCCCAAGACTATTCACATACATTTCATTGAATGAGCGACCCATCCCACTCCCCATGTCAAGATGGGGAACCCATTCTATCTATTCCATGGAGGTAAAATATGAGTTATAAAATGTAGTACACTGTTTAGATGGCCTGGCCCACATTCTTTTATGATAAATCCAGTGACCTTTTTTCCTAATCCATGAGGCCTTCTAAGTAAATGGAATCTTAAATATTTTTCCTTTTCTGGCCGGTTCGTTTCACTTATATAATGCCTTCAAAGAATATTCCTTGAAGACATCCATCCACCCATCCATGTTGCATTGTGTGGTGGAATAGCCGTCCCTTTTAAGTTTAATTAGGATTCCGTTGTGACACAAGTTACATTTTACTCATTCTTTTGTCAGTCAAGGGACACAGCTTACTGCTGGCTCTTTTGGCCCTGGTGAAACTTGAAGTTGTAGGCAATGGGTCTGGATAATGAAGTTCATGTGCTATCATGCTGGACCTCAGGTGGAGGAGACAGAGGCAAGTCTCTAGGTGTTTGAAGGTTAGATTGATGTTACACGGGGCCCACCATTTTGGTATGCCAGTCAACCTCTTATTCCTTCACTCTGTTTTACTGACATTTTGAGAATCTACTAGATACCAGTGAATGGAACAGAATTCAGTCTTGGCTAAATTAAAGATCGGGCTTGTGTGCTACATCTTGGAAGTACTTTCTGGGTCTTTTGAAGGCTGTTTCTGATAGTGGCATCTTTGTTTGCTGGGAACTTTTGCTCATGCTAGGTAGTCTAACCATGTGATTAAAAGAGGTTGGTTATAGTCAGAGACCCTGTCTCCAGAAACAAAGAAAAAAACACCAAGTAGAAAAGGCAAGGAATCGGGCTCACCTGGAGCCTGGGTTTTCCCTCTGAGTCTTCCGCCTGCAACGGCTCGGTGCACAGCTTCAGTCACAGGGCTGGTGGGGCAGTAGGCTTGAATTGGCCACAGCTGAACTCCTGGAAAGGCACAAACATTCTTTTCCCCAGCCTTCATGAGAAAGCATTGCACTGCAGCATCTGCTTATTTCCACCTTTGCTAAGGGGCACAAAAGAATTATGATGGTTTTTTTAAACAAAGGGTTTGAATTTCTGGGTTTACTCCCTCAGTCGAGATAGTGGGAGCATCCATAGTGTGTAAAGGCGCTGGGGTCACCTACAGTCCTTGTCTCTTATGTTTAAAAGTCTGTTTTGGGAGTGGTTTGTTTGGGATTGGTTTTTTTGATTTGTTTTGATACAAGGTCTTCCACTGGGGCCCAGTCTGGACTGGAACCCTAGCTATCCATTCGCCTCGAGTGTCCTGAGTATGGGGATCATAAGCATGCATCACTCCCCTCAGCTTCGGGGTTAATTTTCTGAGTTCCTTTCCTTTCTTTCTCGGCTGTCTGGAAATGGTTTCCCCCCATGTGGTGTGTTTGTATTATTCCAGTGCACCAATTCTGGCCTGCGAGTGCATAGCTTTCCTGCGACAGACGGCGAAAACACATGATGATGTCAGAGGATCCAGAGTCTCCTGTCTCTATCAGGAGTTTACAGACCCAATACATGACTCAGGTGTAGTATACGTGAAGCAAACTCTGAGCCTGGCGGTGGTGGTGCACGCCTCTAATCCCAGCACTCTGGAGGCAGAGACAGGTGGATGTATGTGAATTCAAGGCCAGCCTGGTCTACAAGAGCTAGTTCCAGGACAGGCTCCAAAGCTACAGAGAAACTCTGTCTTGAAGAAAAAAAAAAAAAAGAAGCAAACTCTGTAACCTTTTTTCACAGGCCATTGGTTGTGAGTGGGTAGGTATCTCCTCTCTCATGCAGCCCGGACTCCCCTCCCAAGCTGCTGCATACACACAGATACAGCTGCATCTCCCGCTTCCCTGGGCAGCATCGATCCGTCTCCCCTCTGAGGACTCTCAGATGGATGAAGCACAGAGACAGAGAGCAGCTTAACTATAAGGGAGGTCCATCATACTGGCACTCTCAAAGACTACCCTTGATAGAATGGCTGCATTAACTCGATTTATATGTGGTTAAAAGCTTGACTATGCTCTGATTCAATACACATTTGTCGGGAGTCAGGCATGTTTCAAGCGCTCAGTCCATTGTAAGAAGGCCTCCCACCCCCATCTTCTGTTCCTCCTCTTCCACCCACAGGCTGACCAACCTTGCTGCGGTTCTGGATCTGGCAAAAGAAACGCAGTGTTCTCTTGCATCACTTGCGTCTTGTCTGCACCATTTTCTCTTGTGGAGCATGTTTCCTGATCACCTCATGTAGATGAGCGCCACTCACCCTCCTGCATCTGCATCCTATACTCTTCGCTGCTGCCTCTGTGTCTCTATACTCGATGGCGGCTTCCTACGTGTCCCACCTCCCTGTTTGACTCCCTGCTCTTGTCACTGCTTTCTGCATGGCACACGAGACAGAAATCAGGCCCTCAGCTGCTTTGGAATGGATGAGAGAATCAGGTTATACCTTGTGGTGTAACGTCAGTGTTTAAAAACCAATCAGTCTTCTTCATTAACAGGGTTATGCTGATAGCGAGGAAACTGAAGCAGGAGGATTGAGAACTCAAGGCCAGCTTTATCTACAGAATGACCTTAGAGGGGACAGAGGCTGAGGGATGGAGATGGAAGGATGTAGAGAATTTCTCCTCATTTCCCCTACGGACAATTTAACAACATGACCTCCTTCCAAGGACATGGATTGAAAACCCAAACTGGAAGAAGTGGATGGCAGACCCAATGTGCAGACATCTCTAAATTCTAGGTTATTCTTTAAAGACAAATTCTTGCTGCTCCTGTGCTGTAAGCAGAGACTGTGCTTTGGTTTCCTGGCCACCCAGATCGGAATAATCACACAGAAACTATATTAATTACAACACTGTTTGGCCAATGGCTTAGGTGTATTCCTAGCTAGCTCTCATATCTTAAATTAGGTTAGGCATTGGGGTGGTTTAGCTAGTTTCTGTGGGTTAGTGATCTGGGGCTGTAAACATCCTGGAAGAGGAAGACACTGCAGCTGCTAGTGTTTTCACACACTGAACAATTGTTCATACAGACTTATATAGGTTCCAAAGCAAAACTCTACCATCATCCCTCACCCAGGGAAGGCTTGCTACCACTGTGGGCCTTGGAGCCCACGCCAGCAATACACACTCAACTGTGTTTCACTCATCCAAGGCCTTCTCTGCTTCCTGTTTTCCCCAGAAGTTCTTTTTTTTTAGAACTGCATCACCACACCACACAAATCACTCTTAAAAAAAAAAAGATTTATCTATTTATTGTATATACAACATTCTGCCTCCATGTATGCCCACACACCAGAAGAGGGCACCAGACCTCATTACAGATGGTTGTGAGCCACCATGTGGTTCCTGGGAACTGAACTCACGACCTCTGGAAGAGCAGCTAGTGCTCTTAACCACTGAGCCATCTCTCCAGCCCCCCCTCCCCTCGACGTTCTTGAACTCCAGGACCAAACCATCTTCCTGCTTCAGTCTCCTGAGCAGCTGGCTGGGGCTATATGCCATTGTCATCAGTTTGCATTGTCCACTTAAACAAACAAACAAACAAAAAACCCACCAAACTTTCTTTTATTTTGCCTTTTTGAAATTTTTTATATTCTTCAGCTTTTAAATAAATACTTGGGATCAAGTTATGTTTGTCATTATTTGTAATGCTTTCAAAATACGTTTTACTATGGCCTCTTTAAATTGTAGTGTGTCTTAAATCAGACTTATTTCTCAGAAACAAAGAGGAGATAGTGAGTAAAATGCCCGGTTATTTATTTTAAAAGAACCACTCCATGTAAATGCGCATCATTAACCTTGCCAGAGCACTGAGCGCTACTATCAACACTATCAGCAATGCTGCAAAAGACTTCGAGATCAAATTTTCTTCCTTAAGAAATTATTTAAGGAGGATAGCTATATGTTTTTCTTTGGGATCACCTTCTTATTTAGCTTCTTTAGGAGATCAAATTATAGACTCACTGACCTTTATTTATCTCTAGAAACCAATTATGAGTGAGTACATCCCATGTTCATCTTTTTGGGTCTGGGTTACCTCACTCAGGATAGTGTGTTCTATTTCCATCCATTTGCATGCAAAATTCGAGAAGTCATTGTTTTTTA